ACATAACTATACTATAGGTATGTCCTCACATATTAGTGTTTGCATTTTTTTTTTTTTTTTTTAGCAAAGCAGCCAAAGCCAGGTTGCTGACTCAAAGGATATGTATATTTTGGATGTTAATAGATGCTGCTAATTTATTTTTCCCAAATTAAATAATTCCTTCTCCCACCAGCAACATATGAAAGTACCCACTGCCCCAGATCCTCACCAGCATTTCATTTTGTATATTTATACTTAAAATTTTTCAATCTAATACATTTTTTAAAATTATTTCTCACGGATATTTTAATATACATTTCCCTGATTACTAGTGAGATTAGACACATTTTCCTTTGTCTAAGAGATTTTCATTTTTCTTTTCTATTTACTATACTTTATATCCATTATATATAGGGAAGTTTTATTTTTTCATCTTTTTTCTCTTGACCTTGACTTTTGCCAGACATTTAAAAATGTATATGGTCAAATAGGTTTCTTTGGGCCGGCCCGTGTCTTAGCGGTTAAGTGCGTGCGCTCTGCCGCTGGCGGCCTGGGTTTTGATCCCGTGCGCGCACCGACACACCGCTTCTCCAGCCGTGGTGAGGCCACGTCCCACATACAGCAACTAGAAGGATGTGCAGCTATGACATACAACTATCTACTGGGGCTTTGGGGGGAAAAAATAAACAAAACAAAACAAAAAAAAAATAGGTTTCTCTTTTCTTTATGGTTTCTGGGTTCCTGTTTTGCTTATAAAGATCTCCTCTTCCAAAATTTGATATTCCCTGTTTTTTGTATTTATAATCTGTTTAAATCCTTAATGGAATTTAAACACTCAGCTTCTGCATCTTAACAGAATCCCTAAATGCCTTTGCTCAAAACAGTGACTGAGATGGAACTTCAGACTTGATGTCAGTATTGCAAAAGACATCTTTAAAAAGAAGAAAAGGAATCAGAGGACAGACATTCATCCCATTAGCAGACCATATTTGCTAATAAAAGCTTATCTGACCCAACCTGTAAGGCATCTTGTAACACTATACAAAATGGGCCAGTTTCCTGAAACTGGATCTTTGCAGTTTAAATCATATGTCCTCAACAATCAGTATCTGTCTAGCACTTTACAGTTTACAATGGGCTCCCACATCCATGACGTATGTGCTAGTGTGGGGCATGGCAAACTGTAAAATGACACACATATGATTGTTTATCATCCCACCACCTGCGAGGGAGGGACAGGGCCATCAGGGAGGGGCTCACCCAGTAGCAGTGGCTATAGACCTCAGCCCCGGGTTTCCTGACTCGAAGTTCAGTACTACACACTGCCCCACTGAGCAGAATCTCAAAGTGACCTGGGAGCTTTCTTGCAGCGGTAAATGATTGTTTGATAATTTTATAACAAAAAGCAGATTTGGGGAAGGGGGTTGGCAGGAATGGAAGAAGGAGCATCTGCCACAATCTCTAAATCATCCTGTTGAGCCACGTTGAAGTTCACCGTTTCACTGAATTAAAGACCTAGCTAAACAAAGACACGCTTTTGAAAACTGGAAGAGGAGAGCTGCTGGCAGGAGTGGAATCTGCATCTATTCTAGTCCAGATCATGCTGCATAGAGAGAGCTTACCTTGCCTGAGCCAAGAAACACCTGCTGCAGTCCCTTTCTGACAAGTCTGGTGAGGGTATAGGTGCAAACTTTGCCACTCAGTTCTATTTACATTGAGCTGTATTGCACCCCCCATTGCTGGCTCCACGGCGGCTGCTAGAAATAGCACTGAGTGTACGGGGCCCATAGTACTTTGCCTCCAGTCGTGGCTGAGCCGGGCTCAAGAGAAACCTGAGTTGATGCTCTCATTACTCGTCTCCAGAGGAAATCCAGCCACAGCAAACACAAGGACACACAGCAACTGATGCTGAATAATAACAATATGCAAATTAGACTTGGAAACTAATCCTGGTCCCACTGAACAGGGACTGAAGTAACCAGAGGGGACCTAATGAAAATCAGGCAGCGAGCTTGGAAATCATGGCAAGCATCAAGCACTTGCTTTCTCCTAGCTGGTTGGTTGTCATAGAAACCCGTGTTTGTAGAGTTTCTGAGTACATTAGCTCAAAGAGGATGCTTACGTTATCCTACTCTAGTGTTGTTAGGAGGAGTAAAATAATTCAGTTCTATTAAATAGATACTTGCTGAGGGCCTACTATGTGATAGACCACAGGGATACATAGATGAATACATGGTCCCTTCTTTGAACTGCCTGACTTGCAGGAGAGACCTGACAAGAAGACAGCAAGCTGTAATGGAATGTGATCAGTACAGTAACGCAGGTGGAAACACAGAGAGCAGAACAATTCATTCTTCCTGGGGATATTAGGGACTTGTGGAGTGGAGGTGACATTTGAGCAGGGCTTTAAGTGAAGAATCAGAAACTTGCTAGTAGAAAACCAGGGGGAACATCTGGGGAATAGCTTTGAGCAAAGGCATGGAAGCATGGCAGGCTACACAGAATGCCAAGTCTGATAAACAAATCCAGCTTTCTGCCATAATGAGTTTTGAGAATTACAGTCAGGCATTATTAACTCCTACTTCACTACTTCCAAATGTGTTGATTATCCTCCTCTTAAGCTAGGCTGAAGTTATCATGGCATTGATAAAGAGAGTTTGCTAAGCAAGAAAAGAACTTAAAGAAATTTATAAAGAAGGATGTTTATCTTCTCAAAGGAAACAAGCTGTTTTCAAGCACTTGGGGAGAACATATTCATCAACAGAAAAGGCTTGAGAGTCAGACGAGTTTCATTGGGTTTGATTGTTGATCTTAATCCTTAGTAAATAAATGATTGTAGGCAAGCTACTGGAGCATTTTGAAGCCCCTGTTTTTTTGTTTTTGCTTTGTTTCTATTCATTGGGGATAATAACATTTTCATCATAGGATTATTTTGAGGATTAAAAAATCAAGCACTATATTCCAAGTGCCTACAACAGTGCCTGGCACATAGTAGCTGCTTAATGTTCTAAATTGCTTAAAAATAATAATAATTTGAGTCTTTTATATACCCTAGATATTTCGTCTATGAAGCCTTAGGGGTTATGAATAAATCTCTGATATGCAAAATAAGTCAATATCATGTCATTTTAGAGGTTTAAGGGAAGTTGAAAATGGTCCAATTCAATGTCATCTCTTTACAGAGGAAACGACTAACATATAAGGTGAAATTTCTTATAGATGAGTACATGGCTGATTAGGTGGCGAGCCTGACCCACGACTCAGGAATCTTGACTGAATCCAGTGTTCTTGCCACAGAACCACGGCTGACTTTCTCACTATTATCCATCATTAAAATGGAGCCCCAACAGACAAGCCTCAGGAAGTCAATTTATGGCAATGAATATGTGCCAACAGTAATATCACTTCTTCCACTCAATTAGTCCAAATGATTGAAGTTTACCTTTTCATGCAAAACTGAATTAAATAATAAATTGTTCTGTATAAATATTAACACTAAATTCATTACGTTCTCTCAAGAGGAAAGCTGCATAATTGTGTGTAATGCTTGTCTCAGCCTGGTGACATTTGTAACATTAAGAATCGTCAACAGAACAGATAAAAATAATTTACTGTAACATCTAAGAGGAAATGTTTTATATCTGAATTACATTAAGCTATGTTTAAGTACTGTTGACAGTATACAGACCTCTCTACTTAAAGGTATCCAAGTAACTGACATCCATACAGAGAGGGACAGTGCCTTCCAGGGATGCTCCAGCTAGCCCAGCATCGCACTCCCTCCGACTATGGCGCCCCCTACAGTCATATGGGGAACTGCATGGACAACATCCCCTCCCCACCTGCCTTCCTGTCTTCTATTTCCTCCGCTTTGCGCAAGTCGTATCTCAATGAATTCTACCTCAAGAGAATCTTTCCACTTTGCATTATACCCTCAAAGTGAAATAAGTCAGAAGGAGAAGGTCAAATACCATATGATTTCCTTCCTTAAGTAGTAGATAATAACAACAATAAACAAGCACATAGGGACAGAGATTGGATTGGTGGTTACCAGAGGGGAAGGGGGGAGGGAGGAGGGTGAAAGGGATAATTCGGTACATGAGTGTGGTGATGGGTT